GGGAAAAAAAGGATTTAAAAAAAAAAAAAAAAAAAAAAACCAAACAGTTTGCCCTTTTATCAGGAGAGCAGGCATTGCCATTTTGAACTCTGTTCTCCGTGGCACATCTCTGTGCCTCAGAACACACTTTAAGAAATATTGATATAGATGGTTTCATGGGCACAGCCCACTTCTTCAGATGAGCTTGAGTGGTGAAAAAGGGAGGTGGGAAGAACAGACTTTACCACAGACTGAGAGGGGGGAAGTACCTATCAATTTTAGTGCCAGTGCTAATGAGGCTAACTAACTGGGCTGGAAGTGTCCCATACTCAACTTTTGATGTCAATGAAATGTTAAATGTGAGGAAGGCTGGTTTTATAATGGGCCAGCCAGTTAATGTCTTTGTTCAGGCCAAGGGAAACAGTGTCAAATTTGTATTTGCAAGTAAAGGCCAATTTCACTTGCACTCTCTCTGTAATTGGTTTGTGAAATTCCTTTGTAGAAAAATGGCTATATTTAAATCCACGATTGAGTACCCAGGCAGGTTAAAATGTTCCCCTACAGGTTCATGTGTGTTACCTCACTTGGGTCCATTTATCCAATATACATGGCAGAGGGGCATTGCTGGCACTTGATGGCATATATCACATTAAAGAATGTGCAGTTGTACAACCTCTGATGTTGTGGCTTATGTGGTGTCAGTTGTATAGATGTGTGACAGAGTTAGCAATGGGATTTATTGCAGGGATAGGTTCCTGGGTGAGTGTATCTGAGGTGTGATGTATGGTTGCTGGAAAGAATTTGCTCCAGTTAGGGGGTTATCTGTAGGCAAGAATTGGCCTGTCTCCCAAGGCCTGTGAGAGGGATCCTTTTCCAGGATACATCATAGATTGTCAATGATGTGCTGGAGGGGTTTAAGCTGTGGGCTGTAGGCAATGACTAGTGGTGTTCTGTAATTTTCCTTAGAATCATAGAATCACAGAATACTAGAACTGGAAGGGACCTTGAGAGGTCATCGAGTCCAGTCTCCTGCCCTCACAGCAAGAACAAGGACTGTCTAGATCATCCCTGATAGCAGGTTGGCTAGACATCTCTTAAAATCTCCAGTGATGGAGATTCCACAGCCTCCCTAGGTAATTTATTTTAGCCACCCTGATGGTTAGGAAGCTCCTTGTTGGGCTTGTCTTGAAGAAACAGTTCTTAGGTACTGGTCTGGCTCTGTCATTCTGTTTCTTTACTTCCTTAGGTGGGTATTTAAGTTTTAAGAATGCCTGATAAAGATCTTGTAGGTGTTTGTCTCTGTCTGTGGGATTGAATCAAATCCGGCTGCAAACAATTGATCATGCAATGTGTCCTTTAAGGAATTTTTAGTGTAAAGGTTAGTGGTGGATGAAGGCATGAATCTCCCCATACTGGTAGTCACATACCTCCTAGGACTCTATTGTCCTTGCAACTTTCCACTTAGTTCCTGACTGAAAAGGAAGAAAAGACTTCAGACTGCGGGCGTATCTACACTACACCACAGCTTGAAATGGTGTGTCTTATTTCAATTTTGTTTCGAAATAACCCACTATTCCAAAACATCCCTTATTCCCCGAGGATGTTGTAATAGCGAGCCCAAATAACAGTCTTTCTGTGAAGACACAGGATAGCTATTTTGGGATACTCCAGTATCCCGAAATAGTGTTACAGTGTACACATAGCCCTTGAAAGGAAGATATATGTATATCTTCACTGAAGCAGAATTAAAAGGTTAATTAATTTTTCTTTCTTTAAGATCTTACTTAGGCGAGATACTCATTCTGTAAGAGTGAGAAAGCTGAAGGATGTTTCAAATGGGTAAAGAGTAACAGTAACATTGCAGAGATGCACAAACTATACATATAATATCTAGCTTTTATATAGAACTTGTCATCAGTAGAACTCAAAGTGCTTTACGAAGGAGGTGAGTATTAATATTATATATTACTTATTATGTAAGCAAGAAGTGTCCTTTCTAATAGGATAGAAATAAGACATCCCAAAGCATCAGCCTGATATTCAAAAATGCAGCTAATGCAAATAAGAGATCCCAAAAGAATAAAATGCTAGTAACAGGACCAGAAGCATTTGGATTTTCCTGTTTGAGAAACAGAATGTGCAGGATAGAAAGAATGAAAAGAGATTCCACTATAGAATCCTAATCCAAGCTATAGTGCTTTGTAAAATTATAGAATGAGGGCCAAACTGTTTTGCATATGTTTACAATTAAAACATTGCTGATGCAGGCACTGCAGATCTGACTAATGGGTACTGTCAAAATATTTCTTTATAGTAGGGAATAGGGCATTCCCTTGAGGAGTGTAGAGTGGTGGGTTCAAGTCCTATCAACCGTTGGAGCAGTGGGACAGCCAGGAGCACAGTCAAGGCAAAGCCCTACCCTAGCCCTCCCACCATCTGCAAAAGCCCCGGGCATACACCCCCTCCCCTCCATCCAAAATAGGTCCCTGACTCCAAGTTCTCCATAATCTGTCATAGAATTGGATTACTCTTGGCCTTATAGTTTCAAGCTTGCTGGAAAATAGCAATGTGAAATATAATCAGGCACACATTTTAAAACACAGCTCTTAATGATAGCAATTAACTGGTGTGAAGGAAATAAAATGTTAGATAAACTCTTAAAAAAGTCTATCCCACTCCAGATTGAAACACTAAGACCTTTTGATGGTCAGTGTGTGAACATGGCCTACCATTCCTAACCCTGCATACTGATCTAGATTTATAAAGGCAGAACTCATCACCTTGGAGAAGACTCTCAAATGAGACTACTGCACCATTTTGTCCATGTAGAATTTGGAATAAAGAGGAACAGTCAATAAACCCCAAAGTTAATACAACTATGAGCTGAAGTTATTGCCACCAGGAAAATGAGAGACTTGAGATCACAGATACTGAGCTCTCACAAAAAAATCTCTTTCAGCCTCATAAAGATCACATCAACATCTCTCAACTTAGGACATTTCAAAAGTGCCAAGCTCCATATAAAACTGGTCTATCTTTAACTAATTCATAATGGGTCAAAACAGTTGCTAAATGCACCTGGATAAAGTTAATCTTTGAGGTAGATACAAACAAGTAAAGATAATTAAACAATTTTTGTGCAAGGCAAATAAAAGAATAAGGAACAGAGGAAGCAAAGAGCTTTAGAAAAGCATAACTTTCAAATCCTAGAGAGCCGACATCTTATAACAAAATATTATCTTCCCTTTCATGACAGCAAAACATACCTCCCATATTTGTCAGCTTTTTGAACAAAGGAAGAGGTGGTCTATCTGCAAAAACTTCACTTTGATGAACCAGGCATTCTTTTATGGCATCATAACCATTCAGTACAATAGCAGATATACCTCCAAGATCAAGACTGAAAATCTTTGAAAAGAACAAATGAAAAGAGGGCACTTGTAAAATTAAACTGCAAGGCATTTTCAAGAATAAGTAACGAAATAAATACTGAAAAAGTAGAACTAAGCATCACTACAATACATATTTCTTAAGCTGTTTCCAGATTGTAAGTACAAACATTGTTCAGGATAATCTTTTCTCCCCTGAATTTTAGCTTGTAAATTCTTTAAGGCTGGAATCAGTTCTCCGTATGTATTTTTTTGAAAAGTACTAACTATAATTGGACTGTAATTCAGTCTGACACTTATAAATACTCTTGAAATATAAACATTAGAAGTTAATAGAAAGATATTGAATTGATAGTCCTATGAAGTCCTCTGATAGTCTCTAATTTGCAGGAACCATCTCTACAAGTGAGAAGAGACTTCATCGCAATGCCTATGTAACCCGCGCATGCCTCCCCCAGGGCTGACTCACCCCTCCTGTGCGGTGCAGGTAGCTAATGCTCCCTCCCGCAGTACACCCGGCAGAGCAGCTAGCGCACTTCCAGAATCGCCGGAAGTGGTGCTAAGCTGTGGGACTTCTGTCCATCCCCAGGAAGCCAACACTACCTCCATTTTCATTTGAGGTAAGTAGTGGGGCTTCTCGAGGGTGGGAGGGAAATGGGGGCGGGCCAGACAGAACGCCTCGCAATTGACCAGTCGATCGCAATCGACCTGTTGGTGACCACAGCTTTAGATCTCTTGGATGTATAACATCTGGGCCCAGTGACTTACTGATTTTTAAGTTATCAGTTCATTCAAGCACTGTATCTGTTGACATCTCAATCTCTATTAGCACCCCATATGAGGAAAAGAAAAGGAAAAAGAAAAATTAATTAATTAAAGGTTATGTCTCCCTGGTCCGACTCTGTCTCAGACAAAGGAGTTTTCCAGACCATAGGAGTTTTAGGTGGGGGGTACCAGGCTCCCGGCTAGACTCCTCTCCCCAGTCTACTAGTTCTGCAAGCTGCGGCACTTTGCCAGAGCTCCCAGCTCCACAAGTTGTGGCAAGCCTGCTGGAGTTCCCAGTGGCCCCACTGGAACTTCCGGTAGCCCCACTGGCCTCACGGCAGCCCAGCCAGAGCTCCTAGGTGGCCCTACAGCTGCAGGTTCCATTGCTCCATTAGATTCAGCCCCTGTCGCCAGCTTCCCTGTCCCACTGACTACAGGCTCTGGTGCCCCATTGGCTATCTCTATTCTGAGCTTCTGGCAACCTCTGCTGCTGGGGCTCTCTAGTCCTGCAACATCAGTGGTCCTTCCGTACTACGGATTTTGCCAGACCAGAGTGTCCCAGACCACAGAGGTTAAACCTGTATTCATTTAGATTTTTAAAATGCAAGACGACGATCAACATTTGCCAAGTGAGAAAATACAAGATTGTAAAAGGTGAAAATATGCGCTCTTTATTCCCCAGACATAAAATGCTAATGAGTACACAAATTATAATTACTTTATATACTAGAAACTTCTGATTTGATTTAAATCAAGATTTAATTCATGATTTAACTCACTAGTCAGGAAGACTCAATGTAATCAAGGTTTTCTACATAAAAGTGCATTCTTGTAAGTTGTTATAACCTTAATACATTTTCTTCACAACTCAGAGATAGATGTAGGTTTCATTTTTAGAAGGTCCACATTATACATTTTTAAACTGTGAGGGTATGTCTACCCTTGCACCCTCTTTCATGAGAGGGATGCAAATGAAGACATTCAAAAATGCAAATAAAGCCGGGATTTAAGTATCCCATGCTTCATTTGCATAATCACGTTCAGGCGCTATTTCAAAATAACAGATGCTGTTAAAATGCAGTTATTTTGAATGAAAACCCTTCTCTCGAAATAACCCTTATTCCTCTTACAATGAGGTTTAACAGTTATTTCGGAAGAAGGGTGTTCTCCCTAAATAACTGCATCTACACCGCGTTTTGTATTTCGAAATAGTGCTATTTCGAAATAGCGTCATAACATGATTATGCAAATGAAGCGTGGGATATGTAATTCCCGGCTTCATTTGCAATTTTGAATATCTTCATTTGCATCCCTCTATTGAAAGAGGGTGCAAGTGTAGACATACCCTGATTTATTTTGAAAACTTTTCAGATTAGTTTTACAGTTATATCAGAAAATGAATGAGTGTTTGGTTAATTCATTTACCAAAAGTAATTTATTAAGTCATTAGTTAGTGAACTATATTCAATTCATCTAGAGGATTTTCTTGCCATGCTGTATTAGGAAGAGAACATCACCAGGCAGACATCTGAATTGTTTTATTTAACTAAAACAACAACGTTATGCATTCTGGATTTTTTTCTTCAAAAGCAAACATATGATATTTTAACAAATAAGCATATACATTTTTTAATTTAGTTAAAACATTCAAGTTTTTAAAAAAAATCAAGTTTGCTTTTGTTAATTTTTTTTAAACTAAAACGGTTAAATGAAATATTTAAAATTAAATAGATTGTCAGCCAGGTCAACATGAGAAATTTAAAAGATTGGTTTCTGAAGCAAACTCAGTCATCTTCAGCTTCCTATTGGTTCATAATCTAGAAAAGAAAAACTTTCCTGCTTTTTCAGGCCCCAAATAATTTCTCAATTTGGAATGAATTAGTCCAAAGGAAGAAAATATTCTTTCTACACTAGCAGAAGAAGCTACTGCTGTTAAAAGTGAGATCATCACTTCAAGCGTCTCTGAATCTAAGTGCTTACGTGACTTCCACCAGTTCACTGGTGTGACTTTCTTTAAAACAACATCAGCAAACTAATATATATATATATATATAAATTTTTTAACGGTTCACCCTTAGTTCTCAAGTTTATTATACAGCCGGTCCCTGAGTTGTGAACGGCCGACTTAAGACTGTTCGCAGTTACAACCGAAGCTGTCGTAAATGGTGGACCCCGAGTTACGAACACGATCCGTGCTTACAAACAGCACAGTCGCGTGTAACTCTATGGGGTCCGACTTACGAACAAACCGAGTTACGATCAATTGCTTGGTAGGTAACCGGTTCGTAAGTCGGAGAGAGGCTGTAGTTGGTATTATGGTGGGATGATTGCTGGATGTCCGTTTCATTGCCAACTCCTCTTCTTTAGCAGTTAAGGTTTGATCTTGGTACCAAGTACTGAAAATATTTGCAAGAAAATGAGCTGGAGATAGTGCTTGTCCCATTTGTTTGTTTAATGCTCATTATTTAACTCTGTCATTGCATATTTCTCTTTTTAAGATTTCACTCAGTTCCTTCCAAATTTCAACAGTATCAGCAATAAAACAGCTATTTCCCTGCATTTTGTTCAAGGCTATAGAAATAGGTTTCAGGGTAACTCAACATGTGTTCAACATTTCTCTTAAGCCCAGTGTTGAGAACTTTGCCGGTAATAGTGCCATCTATTTTTTTCATGATTTTGTTCACAAACTGTCATCAGATTAGGTCAGTTCTTGATATAGTGCTTAAAAGAGTCCACTACTGAGTTTCATTGCATGTCCTATGGGAGAGTTAGCTTAGTTCCCACTTTTTTCAGAGCAGCTGCTGCAAAGTATTTTGCCATTTCAAAAACATTAGCCTCTATTTCTGGAACTCTGAAGTCTTTGGCTAGGAAGTGCATTGTAACCATGTTACTAGCTTGGATCTCTTTTAAATTTCTTCTCATCGTGGATGCATTTACAGCATTGTGATAAAGTTGCTTACTAGACTTTTGATTTTTTTTCCCCCTACCGTTTACTTTTACTGCCACTTCTTGTGAGTATTCACCTGGGTGCGCATTTCCTAATGTATTAACTGTTTCTGTAAGAAAGACATTTCCTTCTTCTATCATTGCACATGCACAGTATCATTGTGGACATTGCTCCACCCATAAAGACTCAGATTAACAATTTTTTCCCTTTGGACTTTTTGCACACTGTTCAATTTCTCTTTTATACACTCTATCCAGCAATTTGTTGGATTGACTGTATCCTGGTCTTAATGACTGAACCATGTTAATGAATGTGGGTTCTCAATCAAATGGAAAGGAGAGTTCTGTTGCATAAACAAACCAGGCAATTTTCCCACCAATTACCCCTTTTTGTAATCTGCTGGTTCATATCACAAACTTATCTGATTGCTTCTGGATGGAGGTTTTTTTTCTTTTTGCTACAGGTGATATAATGTGGCTATGTGACATACTTTACATGATGTGAATGAATGAAACACTATCACTGACAGATAAGTCTAAAACTACAGAAAATGATGGTGATCTTGAAGGTGGACAGTCTTCAGAATCGTGTATGATGAGGCTGGAGTCTCCTAAGCAAAATAAGTCAATTAAGTTATTTCATTATTACCATTTGGCTCATTTAGTATTAGTCATTGTATTCAATGACATTCAGTACTGCTTTAAAGATGAAATTTTAAAAGGATGACCTGCCTATTTGAGCTATTTATTTTTTGTCACAATTGCACCAAAAATGATAGTATCATAGAGTAACAACTATGTTTTTTTGCTCAAACATGAGAATTCAAGAATAGCCAAGAAAGAAAACAGGTAGTCCTTATGAAAGAAGTATGACATTAAAAAGTTACAACCTGAAGATCCTGCATGTTCAGACACGTTCCTTTCATAGTCTTCAACGCAGCTTCCTCTTGAGAAGGAACACTTCTTATAATGTTGTTTCATTCCGTCAACTAGGCCTTGCATTTCTTTGTTGCACAGTTTGCATTTTGCACGCATGTCTGGTTTACTCACAGGTAGAGGAACTTCATTAAAGTTCCAATATTGGGTCTCTTTTACAACCTGCTGCCATTACAGGTTTTTCCTTTCTAGTGAGAGAATGATATAGTAGATCTCAAATCAATGAAAGCTACACTCAGACCTCAAGACTTCTCAAATATGCTGCTCAAACAGTTTCACTATTGTTTCTATTGCCTGTTCCTCTCTTCTCACATTTATCTCCAGACTTCTTCTCCTCATCCAGATTCCACCTCAACAATCTTCTGTTCATTG